GGGTTCGACTTAGGACCTTCCAGTTACAAGTCAAGCTGGAATACCATTCAGCCAGTGGGACCCGATTCAATGGACACCTTATAATTCTAACTTCTACCAATTCATGATCTAGCGCGACCCCAACCAATGTCATCGGTGGAACATCCATTCTCACACTTGACTGGATGGACCTCACGAGTGGTAGAAGTTAAAATTCATGAGGTAGGCAATGAATCGGATCCCAGTGGCTGAATGGTATACAACCTTGCCTTGTAACCGGAAGGTCCTGGGTTCGAACCCTGGCGGTGGGTGCATACTGCTGATGATTCCCAAACTAGGATGAAACTGCTGTCCAGTACTCCAGTGCTGGTTTTCAATGCTTCTCTAACTGATATCAATCAGTGATCAACTCGTAAAAAAAATAATATGAATTGCGTTGGGAAGTATTCAGCGCTGTGCAGATTTATTATTAAAACACACAGATGGTAAATTAGGGTCACTAAGAGATGCACCACAAAAAACCTGAGTTTGGGCGAGGGCAGAGATATAGCCCAGACACCTCAACTGAAGCAGGTGGCTTTTATAAGGACCCATCCCTCTCCTGAATCTTAAACTTGAAATCCGATCCACAAAGTAGTATAAGAAGCCACGTTCCCCTAGTTGCCAGCAAACTGAACAGGTTTTTACGTCATTCAATCCTTCCGAATTCTCGAACCCATGTACACCATAAGTTTGAAATCAGGGTTCTCCAGCTCCTCTAGGTAGACTTTCATATCCACCAGTCCGGTTGCGAGAGTCAGATGATCATATTACCCCTTCCTCCACTTTTGTGATGAGCATCCCCGCCTTGTGAAGGCGATGGACAGGGCTTATCTAATAGAAGCAGTGAACGTGAGACCACATCAGAGCATTTCGAGAGAAAGACTGGATTCTACTCAATCCTCGGCTGTACCGTGTCGTTTATAGGAAATCCTTTTTTCTTGAAAGTTTTAACTACACAAACAGGTTGGCGGCCTATAACCACATTCTGTCCAGTCAGAATGATTTTGATGAGAAACGCTAAAACACAAGTAAAGCGTAAAATGGTAAAAATTACTACTGTACTTGAAAAATATTACGATATCAAATGACTTTAGGAGAAGTATTCAAGTCAGCACTTACATGGTAAGCTCAAAACTTATCTAAAATTGGATTTTTAACCGTTGGTTATCAGATTCGAAATCACCTCCTCCCCATTTACTTCAACCTATACTACCCAGTAATACAATAATTCACTTCATATCAGTTAATAAGAAGACAATTGCAGCGAAGAAAATTTTCAAGTATTGGTTTTTGTAGGGATTTTGTTTAATTGCATGGAGGATTTAATCATGAGCTGACATCAGTTAGAGAACCACTGGAAAACCTGGGAGTACTGGACAGCCGTTTCGTCCTAGTCCGGGACTCCTCAGCAGTACGCACCCACCGGGATTCGAACCCAGGACCTTCTGGTTACAAGGCGAGCTCGTAGACCATTGAGCCACTGGGACCCGATCCAATGGTCCTTGAATTCTAACTTCTGCCAGTTCACGACATAGCGCGACCACTTCGCAATGTCTTCTTCGATGAGTTACTGCCTCATCTTCGACCTGCTGTACCCTACTGGTCACGGATTCCCACTAGAACCCCAGGTTAACTGCCTGAATAGGGCCAGTCACTAGTGAGCATCAGATGAATTTTCAAGTATTGGTTTTTGTAGGGATTTTGTTTGATTTCATGGAGGATTTAATCATGAGCTGACATCAGTTAGAGAACCACTTGAAAACCTGGGAGTACTGGACAGCCGTTTCGTCCTAGTCCGGGACTCCTCAGCAGTACGCACCCACCGGGATTCGAACCCAGGACCTTCTGGTTACAAGGCGAGCTCGTAGACCATTGAGCCACTGGGACCCGATCCAATGGTCCTTGAATTCTTAGGCATTCTAATTCCTAATTGTAATTTTTATTAATTTGACCCTTGACCGGATATTATTCTGGAACTTTCCCATCCATTTGATATAAATACACGAATGTACAGCTTAGATGATGACTTCATCGAAAAGAAAATTTTCTTCACTTTATATCAATTGAATCAGACAGTAGAGATTCAGCTAATTGGATCAAATTCCACTCCTACCCATTTCAACCTAGGAAGTATCATGAACTCTTACAAAATAAGCATGTGGCCTGGTAAATGAAAAAGAACCGGTTCAGATAACTGAGTTCAGCTAAGAAAGTCTGAGAGCCTAGTACATGAAACAAAAGTAAGTGGCATAATTGAATTCATCATATACAGACAGATAGACAACCTACTGTTATGATTGTCTTATAAGATTAAACCCACAGACTGGTAGATATAAACAAACTGATTTAAGCCAGTGTAATTTGCGTTGATTGATTATGCTGGAGCGAAATGTTCGGCTTCTGTTGACATGTCAACTCTTATTATGGACTCCTGTGTGATATCTCAGGAATAATGTGAAGTAATCTGGTGGATGATGACTTGTAAGTGGAATCCAGAGAATGAGTATTTCATCCTACTGGAGACTCATCAGTTGAGTGTACCTGTTATCCTCTGTGAGTAAGGCGAAGTTAAAGTATCATAGCCAAAGTCAAGATTTGTCAAAAGTTGACCTTCAAGAACCAATCAGATCCAAGGAACGCTACGAATAGTCATTCCAAATCAAATCATGCCTACCTTTATGGATGAGTTCCACGAAAATCGAGTATGTGACTACTGTGTCAGAAAAAAAATTAATTGTGTGGGGGTAGGGGGAGAAGCATGACAATAAGGCAATACAACCTTGTGTTGGATAAATATTGTTACAGATGTAATTCATGTTATAAGAAGAATGCTGCTTGTGAGGGTAAGTACAGGTACATTTTACGCAAATATTTAGGGTTAAGATTAGGGGTAGGTTATAAAATGGAGTCAGTAATATCAATAGGCCCCAAAGTACCACAACTTACAGTCACTCATAGGGTGATTTATCTATGTATTATCCTTTTAAAAATACATTTTCGAACCATTATGAGAATCTTTTTAGTATCTAAATTCTGATTAGTTGTCCCAAATCATTGTGGTTTTGGCTGGCTGTCTGTCTGTTTTCGACATAGAACTCTGCACATATGTGCGGCAGTTCAAGTCGCCACACTCCATGCAGCACACAAAGCAACAGAAGAAATGCATAAAAGAGACAGTAAACAGAGGTGTGAGACAAAGGAATAGTAATAACGAAGAACAATATAGTTTCATTGCAAATCATAAATCACAAGGAGTGGATGCATCTGGGCCATTGAGAACGATTTTGAGCCATATCACCAATTGTTTCCAGCCATTGGTTTATGTCGTCCCGAGGACCCCAACCAGGAAGTCTACATCTGCCTACGTTGTGGATTTCATTGACTCGTGAAAGCCATGTTTCGGTTTGACCGCCGCTAGCTTTTTTCCAGCCTGGCCCTATATCAGCTAACATTGCATACTGTCGAGGAAGGCGCTGACTAGGCATACGTAACCCATGTCTTAACCATCTCAGTCGATGTAATTTCACAGCCTCGTCGTTTTGGCTATGATGCTGTAACTTTTCAGGAAGTGATGGTATTCCCCCACTACGACTCGGACAAAGCACGTATTGTCTAGAACTCCAAAGCGTTGGACCATGAAGGTCACACCTTTTGTACAACAGATTCGAGTTTCAGTGGGAACATCACCATTCATTAGGGAACTACGAGTACATCTAGCTGAGGAGCCTCAAAATGGGACGAAATAAGCATAACCTGGATTCCACTCGGTAGTCATCATCCGTCCCCCCCCCCGCACACCCAAATAATACACATACTTGACCGACAACTCCTATTCCAATCACTCAAGCTGTTGACTGACAAACAACAAATAGAGTGAAAACAAATAAATTAAAGTTCTTCATTATTTATTTATAACACTCCTTCTCCAATTCCTATACACAAAGTTTAAGATCAAATGAATGAAACAATTACTTGAAGAATGTTCCATAATAGATTTCAATAATAATATAAACAAAAAGAAGGGGACAAAAAAAGGCTCATTCATACATAAATATCTTCTGATAAAGGTAAATAAAAGTTAAAGAATCAACAGCCAAACAAGATAAATAAGTATACGCTCACTCAATCACTCACACACACACACAAAGAAAAAAACAAATAAAATGCAACATATTGCCAAAACAATAAACGCATATATATATATATATATATATATATATATAAATGAACGAAGCAAAACAGAAAGACATCACTCCTGATGTAATTTAAAAAAAAGGTGATCATGCAATCATATGCACGCAATAATAGGGATATCACACATTAGTATATCGTAGATCAGAATAGTTTATATTAGTAAATAGTAAATGCGTTAACTTCCTTTATTTCATCATAATACAATAACAATCGCCTATGAATAAGGCACACACAGGCACGACACACACACACACACACACACACACAAAAAGGGGGAAGATCAATAAATAAAAGAAAACTTCTCCTCCGCCTTCTCGCCACCGCCAAGAGGTTGATAATGTAGGGGAAATAGACAAATAAAAGGATAAATGGATGGATAAAATATGGGTAAAAAGAAAAGGGTTAAACACATTATACGTATCTAAATCACTATTATATATTCTGAGAATCTTTCCTGATCGATAGTAGTCTCTAAAGAATCAAAGGTAGAAGGGATTATGAGTGAGTAAAGAAAGAGTAATACCTAATTCCTGTACACACACACACACACAGAGAGAGAGAGAGAAAGGCTTCTATACACCTGTCAAAGAAGATGCGAATGAAGGACTAAAACAAAAAGAGTTATATTCTCGGGATTTTTTCCATACACATAAGAATTAACTGTTATATAAGAACGATATATATGTATATATGAAATGCAAGCAATAATTACTTTTGAACAAATATCACAATAATTATAAGAGAGATACATCTGATGAAAGGCTGACGATTATGATTACATATATATATATATATATATATATATATAGAGAGAGAGAGGGAGAGAGAGCCTGACTACTTATAACTGTTGTCAAGAGAGGAAAACACGATAAACACAAAAATGTGTCCAGCTAGTTAGGTGGGTTTTATTCTGTGTACACAATTTTTCTCTGATAAAAAAACAACAAAAAGGCAACGGTAAAATGATGATTAGTAGTATCTCTCTCTCTCTCTCTCATGTGAAATGTCAGACAGAGACAGACACAGACAAAATCTGAAAACATACTGATGAACATACATTTTTCAGTAAAATAAATGAAAAGATTGTGTACAACAAGATTTCACTTTTCAAAACAAAAACAAACAGGTTTGAAGTTAATTAATTAAAGAACTTTAAAATCATTTAAATGAACAAAAGAGTAAACAGAAAGGGATAAAAAGAAAGAAAGAACAGTGAGTAAAATAAACCCTTGTGAATATACAACAACGATATCGTTTTTTTCTTTTTGCGTTCCGAGTGGAATGCAGAGCTTTAAGCTTGTGATGGGGTCGTTATCCTCACGCATCCCACACACACACACACACACACACACGCACGCACACGCAAATTTAATTACAATAATCACCATTAAACGAATAATTAAACAAATCAACAAAGAATACAGCATTTTTAGCTCAACAACTAACTCTAAGTCTGTTTTTGCAGGAGGCATTATGGTTGGCATATTTCTTTTTCAAACTTAACGCCTTTTTGTCCAACGATACATGATTAATAAACCTGCAAAGGAGGGGAAAAAATTGAACAATGAATATCATAACAAAAATCTAATTTACATACTTAAGACAATCTTTTTTCGCATTCCTTCTCCCCCTCACCCCCCCACTATCGGAGCATAGGGCTTCACAAGATTTAGTCTTTGAATTTCTGGTACCGGTAGCGTTGTTTCTCTTACAAGATGGCGTTGCTAGCCTCACATACAACCTTACCTCTTTACCGAATTCATTAACGGATACGTGAAATACAGAAGTATACTGGCCAGAAATAGAACCCTGTTAATATGCCAAACATTCTAACACGTTGCATTACAGGATATGTCTAGAGGACATATTGGTCTACCTAACAGAGCTGGAAAACCCAGATTCCAAATCTATGGTGTACATGGGCTCCAGAATCCAAAAGGATGAAATAGCATATAGACCGCTTTCGGTGACTATAAACCGAAGAAACGCAGCTTCTGGTTACTCATAGAGAATCTAGCAAGAGGATTAGGTTAAGAAGCAGCAACTAAAATAATTTCTCTTAAAACACTGAGGTCACACAATCTACTTTATTCTGTAGATACCATGGAGCTACTTAAATGATGTAGTCCTACCAGACGTTAGAAGTGAAGAGATCAAAATATTTGTGGCGTGTAAAATGAGCGTAACGATCGACAGAAGGTTTGGTGAAGCTGATGAACCCGACCGAAAGCTGCTACCTTGACGTGGTGGTCGGGCTTGAACACTGCAATGACCTAATCAAGCTATACTGGCTGAGACTTATGTCTCTTGAGGTTCTACCATGCCAGGCAGGTTGTTTGGATAGCGGTTAAACAAAAAGCAGCTACCCAATCCAACATCATATCCAATACAAAATTACAAAATTTCATGCCGGATCGGCCGTGGCCCGGATTAACAACGACCGCGCTTCCTGCTGCCGTGTCACAGGGCGGGAGTGATAAATCTGCTACTGAGACACACCAAACAAAAAAGAACGAACAAAAACAGGCCGCGTGTGACCGGCCTCAAGCAGTTGTCCCCTGGGCTCTGCGGTCACGCAACCAACTTCCACGGTGTGGGCAGCCGGGAAGTAACAATCGCCCTCACAATCCGAAATGCACACGAAACCTCCAATCCGATGAACTTTGCGCCATAAAAGTTTCAGAGTGAACATTACGTCTACCATATAGTAAGACACTTGGAGGAATTAATATGATGAATTATACCCCATCCATAGGAAAAATAAAGGCTGTGTTCGAACAGTTTTAGGACTCTGCATAACAATACGTTACTTAAAAATACCACACTTCTCGGTAACACAAAAAGAAATAGACAGGCGAAGAATGACACCAGGGTAAACGAAAAGGATATCACAAGAATAGAAATTTTAAAAAGTCCAGACAAGTGAGACGCTTAACAATCTGATGATAAAAGGTCAACATTTGTGTTACGTATGCCTAGTCAGCGCCTTCCTCGACAGTATGCAATGTTAGCTGATATAGGGTCAGGCTGGAAAAGAGCTAGCGGCGGTCAAACAAAAACATGACAGCAGTCAATGAAATCCACAACGTAGGCAGATGTAGACTTCCTGGTTGGGGTCCTCGGGACGACATAAACCAATGGCTGGAAACAATTGGTGATATGGCTCAAAATCGTTCTCAATGGCCCAGATGCATCCACTCCTTGTGATTTATGATTTGCAATGAAACTATATTGTTCTTCGTTATTACTATTCCTTTGTCTCACACCTCTGTTTACTGTCTCTTTTATGCATTTCTTCTGTTGCTTTGTGTGCTACATGGAGTGTGGCGACTTGAACTGCCGCACATCGGTGCAGAGTTCTATGTCGAAAACAGACAAACAGACAGACAACATTTGTGTCTCTGTGATTGATTTGCAATCATATCACTTAGTCTCCAGTTACTCAGTTTTAACATGTCGAGGAATGAAGCAAAGCAACTTGCAATTATGTATACAATTCACCTTGATAATTAGAGAATTCACAGACTAGTGCTGTCTTTCTATGACTACCATTAACCTTTAAATTAATTCTTCTATAGCCGGTATTGCTAACTGGTGAAGGTTGTAGATCATCACATACAGAATATAACTCATTTCAGTCAGTGGAGATTCTTAACACAATCGGTAAATGGACTTCTTTTTAACACGTCCTACATCTGATCATAACATTACTCACTGTGTACTTTCACTACATGTGAGCGATACTAAGAAGACATCTTGGTACTAATGGATATTTAATATCTCACAAAAGTGAAAGGGCGAGCACGAACATCTAACGCTTACCACCGTACTTGGTGGACATGCTGGTTTACCTGGAAGGGAGAGGAGACTGGAAAACCCTTATTATAAACTTATAGTGTACATGACCTACAGAACCCGAACAGATCGAATGACGTATGTACCTGTCTTGTTCATGGGAAACCTGACGCCATTCCAATACCTCATGGATCAGACTTCAAGTCGACGGCTCAACGTGTAGTCCCATAAGACAACCACCTGCTTCGGTCTCGGACACCCAGGCAGTATCGCAGCCCTCGTAAAAACTATGAGATCCCGTGTGGCGCACTTCTATGGTTCAATTAATGTACGAAGTTTGACTTCTAATAGAACAATATATCCTAAGATCATTCTAACGAATTTACTGATTTTCCACAAAAAAATAATAAGAAATTTTAAAATCGAATTCCAACCTTCTACGTTGCTTTTATCAAAACGATGTATGAAAAAATCAAAATAGCCCACGTGAGCATATTTCAGTTAATTTGATTAAAAATCAGCAAACAAAACAAGCTGGTGAATGTGTTACAAAATATCGCCTAAAGGATATAATCTCAGTCACTCTTAACTCTAGTTAAACTTTAGCAGCTTCATGCATTTTTTCAAGTCCGCTATTCAGATCAAAACTACAATCAGTAGTTGTGACAACTAACAGACAATGCCGGTCTTTAATTTTGAAGAAAATAATTGGTGAGTAGGCGTGAATAAAGTGAATAAATTGCCTACAATTATATATAATTAGATCAAATATCAACAAAATTTTGAAAAAGGTTAGCAGAAATGTTCTTCTTCTTTGAAGCAAAAAAATAATACATACCGAGACAAAACCATGACATATTGGCAATTGCAACTGATGGATCCAAAGCAATCAATGCTTTGCAAATACTATGAAAAGCTGCTTTAAACGCAACAAAAGCCAAATGAGTCTGACGATTGAATTCATCCTTTGATAGATTATCACCTGCAGGACATTCTGTAGTAGTCGATGAATATGTAGCATCATTGCTAGGCGTTTGTTTATAAAACTTTGCATAACTATAGGCTTTTTGCGCATGATACGGAAATGCTAGTGAATTAGGCATACTGGCAGGATAATCTGATTTTGGTGATTCACGTAGAATTTTTGACAACAACCATAATTTACTATCATACGGAAGAAATGGTAGTAATATGCCAAATAAACAAACTAACAAACTTAATAGAAATAAAAAACTGTAAAATAGATCATATAGGAGTAAAACGCCAGTTTTACTGTTTGCTGTTTCACTAGCATTATTGACATGGCCAATTTTTAGCGTATCTGAAAAATATAATTTAAAAAAAGACTTTTGAAAAATTTAAACTAAATATTACGGCGGATAACACAATTATTTACTATTGTAATTAATTCCCTATGACGCTTACACTCAAAAAACACTCATATTTATTTATTTAAACGCATAAAAACTTGGTACAATATGGCACTAAGAAAGACGCGCCACACAATAATAATAAAACAACATAGATCAAAAGAAAAAAAGAAAGAAAAGAAAAAATATATAAGTAGAGAACGGATAGAGAACTCCATCTGGAAGGAAAACAGTCATGCTTAACAAGTTCAAACAGTATTCGTTAAGTATCATCGGGAAGGGAAGAAAGAAGGAAATTGCAACACGTACGCCATTGATTACGATTCTTGGCCGTATCCGATAACGTTTCGACCTATCGATTTAAGCTGTCTCTCGGACCCCAACCAGGGAGTCGTGACACACCAACCGATGCTAATCTAGCACAAAAATCCTTCATCTCACGACGCCACGTAATGGACTGACCACCCCTCTGCCTCTTCCATCCCGTCCCAGGGCTAGTGAACAGAGAGCTGTACGGAAGCCTCTGGGATGACATTGTAGCACATTTCCAAGCCACAGAAGCCGGTGTTTCCAGATGACGACATTCAGTGAATGATCTCCAGTGTTCAAATACGCCGCCGAACCTCAGAATTACTCACGCCATCGAACGCAAGAAATCCTGCGGATACAGCGATGATCGAACACGCAGAGTCACCGCACATCCTCAGCTCGGAGAGGCCAGGTTTCACAGGCGTAGAGCAGGGCAGTCCGCACCGAAGCATTGTATACCCGACCTTTGACAGCCAGGTTAACATCGCGACGGCGCCATAGGTGGCTCAAGTTGATGTATGCCACCTTAGCCTTCATTATATAATTGGAAATCTCATCCGTTATCCCTCCGCCAGCACTCACACAACTACCCACGTATACAAACTTATCAACAACTTCAAGTGGTTCATCCGCAAGAGTCAGTGCAGGTACAGGCTCCTGCCAATCTTGTAACAGTGCTTTGCACTTAGACGGCCCAAAGCATATACCATACTTACAGAAACATTCATATATGAGAATAGGACTCATTTTACAAGCCAGTGTGACAGACATAAATATAAGAATAAAACTTGTGCACTGTGGTAGAGTGTAATTCCATTATGGGTAAATTTATAACAGTGTGACAGACGTTATGTAGACATAATAATCTCGATGAAACACTGAAACTATTTGATTGTGAGAGGAAGGCACTGGAATCCAGAACGCGTCTTTCGGCCTATTTCGGACTCGTTACCTAAGTGAGTGATGGTGTTCCCATTGAGGACCGAACTCAGAACTAAACACTCCAAATCAGAAGGCACTGACCTTTACTGTACTGACGATATCTGTAAATCATCTGTCAAGAAGTGAAATTGACAAGAATGTTTTACCTATACACAAATAGACGATTAGACTACCCCTCTACAATTAAACTCGTGATGCAAAAGTCATAAATATACCCAGAGTAAAAATATTTTAAAATAATTGGTTTGGTGAGTTAAGTTTATAAATAAAACACATAAATACGATTGCGTTACACAGAACTAGTCACTGAATTTAAAAAACATTTAATATGTCTACAAGGGTTAAAAAATTTAATCCAAAATCAATTGTATAATGGCGATTTTTACACAATACACTAAGTTTGCATCAGACTTAAGTGATCCGCTAACTAACATCATCTGAAGCCAAGTTAACGAAAATACTTCACCAAAGACTGTCTTCAAAATCTTAGATGAAAGCTATAAATTCTTTGGACAAAATAATGAAAGAATGTTAAGTCGTATAATTATTGCAGATAACTGGAGCACTTATTTCCACGTAAAGAATCAGAATTCTAATTACACGTTCAGTAGTGATGGAATACAAGTCGAAATAAAAAAAGGTGAGAAGTATCAGTATTTCAAGGAATGCTCTAAAATCACAACTACACGATACGAACTTGGATGACACCTTACAAACATTTAAATTTAGCTGCAACAATTCTAGTCTGTGTATTTATTGTAAAATATCATTTGATCAAGCTGAAACATTGATTATTTAAAATAATACTCACTCGGATTTGTTATGGTTTTCTGTACCTTCATCGTGGATGAAAAGTTTGGAAAAACCAAACTTTTTGCACGATCCACTGACAAATAGGCCTTTGAATTCACTGAGTGCTTTTCAGACCCAACTAAATCTCCAATTGCGCGTGATAAAGACGCTGCACGCAGACTGGCAACAGACAATCCCACATCATGGTAACGACTTGGCCAAGTGCTGCACGAATCTGAATCACGACTGGTAACATTTTGAGATGGATTACGTGAAATGGTTGAACATATGTAGTGTTCACCTAATTTAATGAATTTAGAAACGGAACTGTAATAAATGCGAATGCTTATGAGAATAATAAAATGGTATGACATTTTAACTCCGAAACGACATCAAAGAAGAGAGTTAAGCGAAGACTTCTGCGTCGAGGAAGTCATTTTTCTAAAACTGTATGAGTGCTTTTATACTTACGGAAAATGTATAACAACCCATAAGTGTTGAGCGGAATGGGGTGATGATTAATTTATTTTGCTACGTGTGTAGGATAGTACTGAAGGACTGGTCTTTTGGAGCCAACACAAACAGCTTCACAAAACCAAGTAAATTTACGAACACAATGAACAGGCCAAAGCGTCAGTGATCCTGATCATATCATTCTCCCTCCTTTTCACATTCATATATGTTTGTTGTTTCGTGTGTAGGCCCGAGATGATTTGTACAGTTATATGTTGGACTTCACATTTCGCCTTATATGTACCGTTTCCTAGATCATCTGCGTGTGAAAAATTATTGTGAATATGATTTCATCACAAATGAAAACTAATAATAGTTGTACCAGCCGAATGTATTGCACTTTTCTTAAATGAAAGTAGCAAAACTTTCTAATTTATTTAAACTAAGACGTTGTCCCAATAGTTTTTATTCACTTAACTGATTGTTATCGTCTGTTGTAGGAACCATGCACCATTTGATAAATGCGGGCATTCCTGCCTATTCAAAGCTGTAACAGCGACGAAATTAACATATGACGTACGAAATCTCAGGAAATTAGAAAGCAGAAATACAGATACACGCGGAAATTAGTTGAAGTCGCCACACTATAAGAGCAGTGTGAAAATTAAGATCACGATCAATCAAGTGAATAATAACTACCAGTAACTTCCAGAGAATGAGGAATGGAACTTAGGTAGTGTGGCAGAATATAAATATATAATATAATGATTTCATTTGATAGAACACACAGTAATGGTGATGACGTCTTCAGCACAATTTATTGCTTATAAACATATCCTATGTTTATGAGTAATAAATAAAATTATTCTCTTATGAAACAGAATTAGGATGAAAATGCAAAATCAAAGTGTAAAATAAGATACACTATTGTAGCCACATAAGTAGCGCTTTTGGAAACTAGTAAACTTGTATATTCATGAAACAATTTCAGTAACACCTCTGAAAAACTCCAAATAAAAACATCAGTGACAACCATATTGTTATCACTCATTGCGCATGTTGCAGAAGAAACTTAGAATCGCACTGTCAAACTGCAATCCATTAACAGCTTGGTAGATTTCAACTGAAAAGCAGCTTAAATAGACTTAGTGGACGCCATTCAAATCCTGAGACGTCTTTAGCTTCTATCTCAGTAAATTTACCACACAGATGCATAACCTCAGCTACTAAAGTCGATGAATACCTGGCTCATTCGGCGGACATATTTCGGGACTATATAAGAATGCAGGATTTTATAATTGAACAAATTATTATTCCACAGCACAAAATGTAATCAAAATAAGCCCATTTTCTCGACGATCTCTTGCACAACACAATGTTTTGCTTAACATCCCTATATTAAACGATACTTCCAATGATCAGCATACATCTACATCCAAATAATTTGATGAGCTTAATAACTCTAGTTGCTGTAAGTTACAAGGGCATCACTGTAGTATGTATGTAGATAAACTGCATTTCTGCTAAGGCTCCACCATCTACACTAAGTTAGTATATAAGATGAACGATCCTTAGTAGATGAAGACAACAAATGCAAGGAAAGAAATATCAGAAAAAGGAGAGAATACCAAATCAACTGAAGTGAAATGAAGAAAAGACCCGAAACAAACAGATAAAAAGGTAATAGAGCAGTGTAAATTACGAATCAAATTACTTACAAAAGGCGGAACCGTCAATGGAGTCGAAGAACTGAACCTTGAAAAAATCCTTGGCAACGTCATCATTCACTGGGATTCTCGAGACCGAAATATCCCTAACAGAGAATTAACACGACTGATACACTTACGTCTTGACAAACTCCCCAGATTTTAGTAAGCCCTTACAAGTTGACAGTGTGTATCTGGACCGAGCAGTAGACAAAACTATTCAAGTTTTAGGATAACAAGTATAGTTATTCTACCTTTAAAACGCAGTGTTCGAGCCGATTTGTTCACTATTAAAACCTCGCATGTGTTGAAATTCCCCTTATCAGATCGATGAAAAAATACATTGGATGGTTTGACAAGTACTTCTCTGCTTGAATCAAGCGTCATTGTAGTCTTCGCAACTCATGTATGTTACTAATCCTGGTTACATCGTAGATTGAGTACTGCTGGTAACGCATATCTTTGTAAAATTGACATTAGTTGAATTTTCCAATATTTCATACTCTATTCAATTGTGGCTCGCTACGTCGCTATTAAGTATTTCTGGGTTCACTTGACCCATTTTACGTATCACTGCAAAAGATTTGACTAGTTTACGGAATTTTCATATAACAGCTTTGTATAAATACAACTAACTTGTGGCAGGCTGTGTCCCTGCTGTTTAAAGGTTTCAACATGATCACTCCTCCTATCTCTTGGTGAACTCTGAGGACGAAGGAGAGGTGGTCAAATCCGAATAGCAAAGAATGACTGGAGGGTGAAACTGAATCTCTGGCGTTATAGCAGTTAGTTCACACACTAGTTGATCTTTAGACATCTCCAAAGAGGACGAGTCATAGATTAGAAATATAATAGCGGAACAACGGCTTCGAATCAGGTACATCTTTAAATAAGTAAAATAATGACTAGGCAACGAATAGGAGTTTGACGGTGATACTATCTTCAAGAAAAGTGTATTAGTTTAGTGAAGGTCACAACGTTGATACAGAGATCACATCCCAAATTGGCAGTTATTTAGACCTGGTCCCTATGTTACTCATGTTGGCGTCTTGTACTTGATGTGGTGGTATTTATTCTGTATTCTGATTCAACTTTTATTAAGTGCCACTGACTATATTTGCCATTATTACAACTACTATAACTATTATGTTCCAGGCTAGGCTTCCAAAATTTTAAGTCATTATGATGCTCAAACTCTTCATTATTTCTTAGAGTTTTATCCCTGGAATCGTATCCACTGATCATCACATGGGCTCGTGCAGATTTTTTATTAGTTTTCAACAAGGTTGTGTACACTTCTAGAGGGAAATAAAGTGCAAACTGCGAGTAGAGCTTGGGTCTTTGCTCATTTGTGTTTTGATTCGCAACCATTAATTGCTATTACTATAATATTTTAACGCTCCTGCTGGAACGTATGACTCCAGATCAGAGCTTTGAAGTTTCGGTAGTAGTCGTTTTTCACGGAATCGGTTAGCTAGACTCACGCCGAGCCCCTCCTCTCTACCAGGCTTGCTACCACCTAACCGAGTTGAAGGGAATGCGTCGACCGGTGATCGAATCGGGACCTGGTTGTCCATAATTTTACCATTTGACCACCGACGCATAACCATTAAGTAGGCATGAACAGAATGTACGCAAAAAATTTGCATTTGAAACGGTAGATAATCGTTTGTTTAGGACAATAGCAATCCATTGAGCCGATTCACCCTTAAACATTTTGTTTTCAGTCTAGAAAACTTTCATGGTAGTTCGTCTTTAGAATGACAAGGCCGTAATATTTACACTTTGTGGTGTATTCCCGTGATTTCTCAGCATTACATTAAACTCAACGCATTTCCGGAGTTACCTAAGCTTATCGGTCTTCCTCCATTAGTTGTCCTCCGATTTTCCGTCACGTCGGGCTTGCTAATTAGACAGGTCTTTTGCTAAGGTGCCGATCTATTGCAGCTGGTGACAATGAAGACACCAGCCTTCCGTCCGTTTTAAGGCTAAGACTCAAACAAGATGGAAAACCTCTAGAAATGTTAGCAATTAAATTTCTGTAACTGGTGAGCCAAATGTGATGGAAACTGATCCAATCCTCCTCTTAAACAGGCTTCTAAAGCCTGGTATTTCAGTGAATCTTCAATCAATAGATACATCGAGACAGACAAAATTTGCCAACCGATAAGAAAGAAATCTCATACACAAGGGGTTACAGCTCAAGTCAAGGAGCTTCAAATCTTCTCTATAATATCTAAATTAAACATCGTCGTGATCGGATACGCAGAGACATCTGAGGTAAGCGTCACTTTGTCCTTTCATTGAGTTCGCTTTCATAGATTTCCGGCTTCTCGCTATTATCCTGAAGCTACATTATGTGCGTTTGTACAACGGCAGGACTCTCTTGAAGCCATGCAGGCGTAGTATCTGACATTCACGTAAATTTATATGTTTATATGAAAATATACATTATTATTATCTATTAAGCTATGGACGTTGCTATATCCACTTAGGGGAGACTCATCGATCTCTACAAGTAAGAGCTTCACAGCATATTCCTAAATGGCTTCAGGAGAAAATGGAATCTCCAGAACCCATAAATGACGACAACAGGAGACCTAGCTTCTCTATTGCCAAACATATTATAGAACGGGGCATAAAATCTGCGTTAACCCATGTTTTAAACCTATCTATAAAACGTGCTTGGGAGTATCCTAAAGTTTGCAGAAACCCTAGCTGGCAATTAGGAAGTTTAAAGCACTTTTATGAGTTCATCAACAACAGTTTGCCATCACGATAAACCTTCCCCGGTATACTTTGTTTTGATACCAAGATAGGTGTACTGCTACCACTGCTATTTGGTTTAGTGATCTTATATGTTATTTCCACCTTCAATATGCCCTCTAAACTTGACCGGTTCCCTTTATTAATTTGGAGTGAGAAAGAACCACCATGTTTGCAGGATGATACGGGCTCGTTTTATTTAATTTGAATTTATTTTATCAATTATTCACTCTTTACTTATTTCATACATATTCCTATGACAAGTCTGTGTGCGATCAGATTGTTTGAAATGTGTTGCGCAAATACATCAAAAGGTTTATTATGGATAAGATTTTATTTTGATAAATCACACAGTGTTGTACAGTTATATTAACTGATGACGCTTCGAGCACAAACTATTGCTCATAAGCATACCAACTTACACAAACCTTTTCTTTCATTTATATATATGTGTGGAACCGATTAGATATTGGATTAAAAATCAATGTGAGATAATGTACATACAGAAAAAAGCTCAGCTATTGCACTTCACGCATCAACGAACAACCATACAATAGGGCGGGATAGGGTTAAAATTCTACAAAGTAATATAGGTAGGTGGAGAGAGAGGTTGATTATGGAATTCTTATTCATCGAGTCTACACCCACCACGTACAACAGAAATGACTCAATGGAAATACCAGAAATATGGAAGATATTATTACCTCCGGTCAAATCAGAAGAGAAAAATGAATAATCTTAAATTCTATTTCAATTCGAACACATCGCAACATTCTAGCAAATAACTTATTATGACTATTAAAACCCTCGTCGTATATGCCATCTGCCAATGTCAAGGCCTAACTACACTGGACTTCACACTGTCCTTGGAAGACTCAGGAATTATGCGTAATAACCAACGCAGAAAACCAGAACACAAATCGATTACTCAAGAATCCTTTATTCTTGCACCAATACAGAGCCAACCATTAGACTGTTGTACACAAAGTCTAAGAATAAATGTCATAACAATAAATCACAATGATACTTCCGATAGTTTTCCTCTGTCCTCCTACGAACAGCGAACAATGAAACGATGACTGCCGTACTGATGACTCCCGAGAAAAATACGGAGTTGGGTTTGAGCAGACAACCATGAGTTGATCATTCAATCTTCAACTACATTGACACTCCCCGGCAAAAAACGGATCCATCCCTTTTTTCCATCACGACCAGTACACGCTGACTTGGATGCCATTGCGAGAACCTGGGCCACACGGACAAAGCTGAAATGGAAAACAAACAGAAAAGCCAACACACCACAGGCATACCCACAGCACAATCTCACACATCGAGGACGACCTACATCTTCGAATTAAAGGTGTCCTCTTGACATCTTGCAACACAATTGCCACTTGCTAGAATAACTCTTGCAGAACGCAGCGTGACCATAGCAGCACCCTCTTCACACATCCTCTCGTCTATTCACTACCAATTACCACTGTGATCGCTTGTCACTCATTCTGCCTCAGTTCTAGTAACGGTGACGTATGCAGGCCTCAGTCGTCTACACTCCCGCTCCCCAGCGGGTGGGTACACAGCTAATCATTATCTCCATGTGCATGTAACTCTCAGAACTAGCCTCCCCGGAGTATACGACCCATCTGCTATCTTTAACAGCAATCAATTCATTCACGGGTGTAGAAGACTCAAAACAACTTCAGAAGTAATCACGACGAAAATTTTAACAAAATTATGCAAAACAACAAGATAAGAAAACAACAAGTAAACACAATTAATCCAAAAACATCAATTGATATGACACACCACACATATATACAAACAGCACACATAACATCGCAGATCACGTCTTGATAGAATCCCTTCGAAGAATCGCAGGACTTACACCAGTACGCCTGCAACCTTTCTCAGTTTGACGATTGTGTTGAAGAATGTCCGGACACAAACAAGATTAACCAACAATTACATTAATTGGAACCCACTCAATTACTTAACACAAACATATGTACAATCAATGCATCAAATGTTGTGGATTCTACCCTGACGAGCTACCCTTGAAAACTGTAGGACTTACAGCAGTACGTCTACATTCCTTCTCAGGTTGATGATACAAGTGGAAAGACGTCCGGACACAAACAAAATTAGCCGACAGATAAACGAAAGATGACACCGATTCAGTAAATACAACATGAACATATGTACAAAGCAACACTGAGCACGTTGGGCTGCTCACCGATACACTACCCCTTGAAGAATCGTAGGACTTACAGCAGTACGCCTACAACCCTTCTCAGGTTGAGGCCCTAGGTTGGAAATTCGTTGCAGAGTTTATTTGGTGGCCTTCTACCACCATCTATATCCTCAGCCCTGAACAGTGACACGCCCATGTCATTGTGTCGTAGAATATAGATGACTAACAAACACGACGTATCTTACCAACCAAGCATAGGCACATAGCAACTTACACCAACGATAATAACATTCAAATAGTAACTTGAAACTTGTAAGGCCTTTATTCGCGCAAGCCAGTTTAACAATTACACTGTCATACACAGTCGGCTTATCCGCACTAAACTGACCATTGACATTCGTACTTTCAAACAGACCTATACTAGCATAGTCATAGCACAAAACTCTTGAGTTCACGGACATCCCTTTCACTGTGGATTACAACACCAACGACGGCTGAGAGATACAAGTTGACGAACTTAGTGGTGCATCAGAAGCTGTCGTTGTTCGGCTTTTAGAAGTTTGTCTAACTGCGAGATTACCACCACTGCTGTTTTTTACTATTAGCGCCAGTTCAGCATTAACATCTGTCGATAGGTGGGCTACACGGTAATCAATTACACTGACAGCCTAGCGAGTATCCATACTATATGCCCGCACTAGTAAGTACAAAAACTCATCCATACCCTACTTAGCTCGTGTTCTGTGCGATAAAGAAAGCATTAGGCGTGAAACCTATAATTTATTAAATAGTAGAACAAATTTTTTTGAACTCTTGCGCTACAGGTGTTCAGTTTCTGCGTGAATCATTTTTCCTTAATATTTTGGAAATTAGCCGCTTTCCTCACATTATCCAGTTATCCATGGTCAACAAGGATTGTATTGTATCAACTGGAACAACATATAGCATTCACTCGTGAAATCTACGTCAAGAATCTTCGGATACCCTATCTAACCAAGTGGAACTCAGGACTTTATCCACAGCAAACTGTAAAGGAAAGTCTGACTTTTTATTTTTGCAATACACATCTGTTTATCGTTGTTGTTTTGACAGTGCGTCGGTGGCAGAGTGGTTAGGATTTTCGCCGACCATGCACATGGACTGAGACACACCAAACAAAAAAGAACGAACAAAAACAGGCCGCGTGTGACCGGCCTCAAGCAGTTGTCCCCTGGGCTCTGCGGTCACGCAACCAACTTCCACGGTGTGGGCAGCCGGGAAGTAACAATCGCCCTCACAATCCGAAATGCACACGAAACCTCCAATCCGATGAACTTTGCGCCATAAAAGTTTCAGAGTGAACATTACGTCTACCATATAGTAAGACACTTGGAGGAATTAATATGATGAATTATACCCCATCCATAGGAAAAATAAAGGCTGTGTTCGAACAGTTTTAGGACTCTGCATAACAATACGTTACTTAAAAATACCACACTTCTCGGTAACACAAAAAGAAATAGACAGGCGAAGAATGACACCAGGGTAAACGAAAAGGATATCACAAGAATAGAAATTTTAAAAAGTCCAGACAAGTGAGACGCTTAACAATCTGATGATAAAAGGTCAACATTTGTGTTACGTATGCCTAGTCAGCGCCTTCCTCGACAGTATGCAATGTTAGCTGATATAGGGTCAGGCTGGAAAAGAGCTAGCGGCGGTCAAACAAAAACATGACAGCAGTCAATGAAATCCACAACGTAGGCAGATGTAGACTTCCTGGTTGGGGTCCTCGGGACGACATAAACCAATGGCTGGAAACAATTGGTGATATGGCTCAAAATCGTTCTCAATGGCCCAGATGCATCCACTCCTTGTGATTTATGATTTGCAATGAAACTATATTGTTCTTCGTTATTACTATTCCTTTGTCTCACACCTCTGTTTACTGTCTCTTTTATGCATTTCTTCTGTTGCTTTGTGTGCTACATGGAGTGTGGCGACTTGAACTGCCGCACATCGGTGCAGAGTTCTATGTCGAAAACAGACAAACAGACAGACAACATTTGTGTCTCTGTGATTGATTTGCAATCATATCACTTAGTCTCCAGTTACTCAGTTTTAACATGTCGAGGAATGAAGCAAAGCAACTTGCAATTATGTATACAATTCACCTTGATAATTAGAGAATTCACAGACTAGTGCTGTCTTTCTATGACTACCATTAACCTTTAAATTAATTCTTCTATAGCCGGTATTGCTAACTGGTGAAGGTTGTAGATCATCACATACAGAATATAACTCATTTCAGTCAGTGGAGATTCTTAACACAATCGGTAAATGGACTTCTTTTTAACACGTCCTACATCTGATCATAACATTACTCACTGTGTACTTTCACTACATGTGAGCGATACTAAGAAGACATCTTGGTACTAATGGATATTTAATATCTCACAAAAGTGAAAGGGCGAGCACGAACATCTAACGCTTACCACCGTACTTGGTGGACATGCTGGTTTACCTGGAAGGGAGAGGAGACTGGAAAACCCTTATTATAAACTTATAGTGTACATGACCTACAGAACCCGAACAGATCGAATGACGTATGTACCTGTCTTGTTCATGGGAAACCTGACGCCATTCCAATACCTCATGGATCAGACTTCAAGTCGACGGCTCAACGTGTAGTCCCATAAGACAACCACCTGCTTCGGTCTCGGACACCCAGGCAGTATCGCAGCCCTCGTAAAAACTATGAGATCCCGTGTGGCGCACTTCTATGGTTCAATTAATGTACGAAGTTTGACTTCTAATAGAACAATATATCCTAAGATCATTCTAACGAATTTACTGATTTTCCACAAAAAAATAATAAGAAATTTTAAAATCGAATTCCAACCTTCTACGTTGCTTTTATCAAAACGATGTATGAAAAAATCAAAATAGCCCACGTGAGCATATTTCAGTTAATTTGATTAAAAATCAGCAAACAAAACAAGCTGGTGAATGTGTTACAAAATATCGCCTAAAGGATATAATCTCAGTCACTCTTAACTCTAGTTAAACTTTAGCAGCTTCATGCATTTTTTCAAGTCCGCTATTCAGATCAAAACTACAATCAGTAGTTGTGACAACTAACAGACAATGCCGGTCTTTAATTTTGAAGAAAATAATTGGTGAGTAGGCGTGAATAAAGTGAATAAATTGCCTACAATTATATATAATTAGATCAAATATCAACAAAATTTTGAAAAAGGTTAGCAGAAATGTTCTTCTTCTTTGAAGCAAAAAAATAATACATACCGAGACAAAACCATGACATATTGGCAATTGCAACTGATGGATCCAAAGCAATCAATGCTTTGCAAATACTATGAAAAGCTGCTTTAAACGCAACAAAAGCCAAATGAGTCTGACGATTGAATTCATCCTTTGATAGATTATCACCTGCAGGACATTCTGTAGTAGTCGATGAATATGTAGCATCATTGCTAGGCGTTTGTTTATAAAACTTTGCATAACTATAGGCTTTTTGCGCATGATACGGAAATGCTAGTGAATTAGGCATACTGGCAGGATAATCTGATTTTGGTGATTCACGTAGAATTTTTGACAACAACCATAATTTACTATCATACGGAAGAAATGGTAGTAATATGCCAAATAAACAAACTAACAAACTTAATAGAAATAAAAAACTGTAAAATAGATCATATAGGAGTAAAACGCCAGTTTTACTGTTTGCTGTTTCACTAGCATTATTGACATGGCCAATTTTTAGCGTATCTGAAAAATATAATTTAAAAAAAGACTTTTGAAAAATTTAAACTAAATATTACGGCGGATAACACAATTATTTACTATTGTAATTAATTCCCTATGACGCTTACACTCAAAAAACACTCATATTTATTTATTTAAACGCATAAAAACTTGGTACAATATGGCACTAAGAAAGACGCGCCACACAATAATAATAAAACAACATAGATCAAAAGAAAAAAAGAAAGAAAAGAAAAAATATATAAGTAGAGAACGGATAGAGAACTCCATCTGGAAGGAAAACAGTCATGCTTAACAAGTTCAAACAGTATTCGTTAAGTATCATCGGGAAGGGAAGAAAGAAGGAAATTGCAACACGTACGCCATTGATTACGATTCTTGGCCGTATCCGATAACGTTTCGACCTATCGATTTAAGCTGTCTCTCGGACCCCAACCAGGGAGTCGTGACACACCAACCGATGCTAATCTAGCACAAAAATCCTTCATCTCACGACGCCACGTAATGGACTGACCACCCTTCTGCCTCTTCCATCCCGTCCCAGGGCTAGTGAACAGAGAGCTGTACGGAAGCCTCTGGGATGACATTGTAGCACATTTCCAAGCCACAGAAGCCGGTGTTTCCAGATGACGACATTCAGTGAATGATCTCCAGTGTTCAAATACGCCGCCGAACCTCAGAATTACTCACGCCATCGAACGCAAGAAATCCTGCGGATACAGCGATGATCGAACACGCAGAGTCACCGCACATCCTCAGCTCGGAGAGGCCAGGTTTCACAGGCGTAGAGCAGGGCAGTCCGCACCGAAGCATTGTATACCCGACCTTTGACAGCCAGGTTAACATCGCGACGGCGCCATAGGTGGCTCAAGTTGATGTATGCCACCTTAGCCTTCATTATATAATTGGAAATCTCATCCGTTATCCCTCCGCCAGCACTCACACAACTACCCACGTATACAAACTTATCAACAACTTCAAGTGGTTCATCCGCAAGAGTCAGTGCAGGTACAGGCTCCTGCCAATCTTGTAACAGTGCTTTGCACTTAGACGGCCCAAAGCATATACCATACTTACAGAAACATTCATATATGAGAATAGGACTCATTTTACAAGCCAGTGTGACAGACATAAATATAAGAATAAAACTTGTGCACTGTGGTAGAGTGTAATTCCATTATGGGTAAATTTATAACAGTGTGACAGACGTTATGTAGACATAATAATCTCGATGAAACACTGAAACTATTTGATTGTGAGAGGAAGGCACTGGAATCCAGAACGCGTCTTTCGGCCTATTTCGGACTCGTTACCTAAGTGAATGATGGTGTTCCCATTGAGGACCGAACTCAGAACTAAACACTCCAAATCAGAAGGCACTGACCTTTACTGTACTGACGATATCTGTAAATCATCTGTCAAGAAGTGAAATTGACAAGAATGTTTTACCTATACACAAATAGACGATTAGACTACCCCTCTACAATTAAACTCGTGATGCAAAAGTCATAAATATACCCAGAGTAAAAATATTTTAAAATAATTGGTTTGGTGAGTTAAGTTTATAAATAAAACACATAAATACGATTGCGTTACACAGAACTAGTCACTGAATTTAAAAAACATTTAATATGTCTACAAGGGTTAAAAAATTTAATCCAAAATCAATTGTATAATGGCGATTTTTACACAATACACTAAGTTTGCATCAGACTTAAGTGATCCGCTAACTAACATCATCTGAAGCCAAGTTAACGAAAATACTTCACCAAAGACTGTCTTCAAAATCTTAGATGAAAGCTATAAATTCTTTGGACAAAATAATGAAAGAATGTTAAGTCGTATAATTATTGCAGATAACTGGAGCACTTATTTCCACGTAAAGAATCAGAATTCTAATTACACGTTCAGTAGTGATGGAATACAAGTCGAAATAAAAAAAGGCGAGAAGTATCAGTATTTCAAGGAATGCTCTAAAATCACAACTACACGATACGAACTTGGATGACACCTTACAAACATTTAAATTTAGCTGCAACAATTCTAGTCTGTGTATTTATTGTAAAATATCATTTGATCAAGCTGAAACATTGATTATTTAAAATAATACTCACTCGGATTTGTTATGGTTTTCTGTACCTTCATCGTGGATGAAAAGTTTGGAAAAACCAAACTTTTTGCACGATCCACTGACAAATAGGCCTTTGAATTCACTGAGTGCTTTTCAGACCCAACTAAATCTCCAATTGCGCGTGATAAAGACGCTGCACGCAGACTGGCAACAGACAATCCCACATCATGGTAACGACTTGGCCAAGTGCTGCACGAATCTGAATCACGACTGGTAATATTTTGAGATGGATTACGTGAAATGGTTGAACATATGTAGTGTTCACCTAATTTAATGAATTTAGAAACGGAACTGTAATAAATGCGAATGCTTATGAGAATAATAAAATGGTATGACATTTTAACTCCGAAACGACATCAAAGAAGAGAGTTAAGCGAAGACTTCTGCGTCGAGGAAGTCATTTTTCTAAAACTGTATGAGTGCTTTTATACTTACGGAAAATGTATAACAACCCATAAGTGTTGAGCAGAATGGGGTGATGATTAATTTATTTTGCTACGTGTGTAGGATAGTACTGAAGGACTGGTCTTTTGGAGCCAACACAAACAGCTTCACAAAACCAAGTAAATTTACGAACACAATGAACAGGCCAAAGCGTCAGTGATCCTGATCATATCATTCTCCCTCCTTTTCACATTCATATATGTTTGTTGTTTCGTGTGTAGGCCCGAGATGATTTGTACAGTTATATGTTGGACTTCACATTTCGCCTTATATGTACCGTTTCCTAGATCATCTGCGTGTGAAAAATTATTGTGAATATGATTTCATCACAAAGGAAAACTAATAATAGTTGTACCAGCCGAATGTATTGCACTTTTCTTAAATGAAAGTAGCAAAACTTTCTAATTTATTTAAACTAAGACGTTGTCCCAATAGTTTTTATTCACTTAACTGATTGTTATCGTCTGTTGTAGGAACCATGCACCATTTGATAAATGCGGGCATTCCTGCCTATTCAAAGCTGTAACAGCGACGAAATTAACATATGACGTACGAAATCTCAGGAAATTAGAAAGCAGAAATACAGATACACGCGGAAATTAGTTGAAGTCGCCACACTATAAGAGCAGTGTGAAAATTAAGATCACGATCAATCAAGTGAATAATAACTACCAGTAACTTCCAGAGAATGAGGAATGGAACTTAGGTAGTGTGGCAGAATATAAATATATAATATAATGATTTCATTTGATAGAACACACAGTAATGGTGATGACGTCTTCAGCACAACTTATTGCTTATAAACATATCCTATGTTTATGAGTAATAAATAAAATTATTCTCTTATGAAACAGAATTAGGATGAAAATGCAAAATCAAAGTGTAAAATAAGATACACTATTGTAGCCACATAAGTAGCGCTTTTGGAAACTAGTAAACTTGTATATTCATGAAACAATTTCAGTAACACCTCTGAAAAACTCCAAATAAAAACATCAGTGACAACCATATTGTTATCACTCATTGCGCATGTTGCAGAAGAAACTTAGAATCGCACTGTCAAACTGCAATCCATTAACAGCTTGGTAGATTTCAACTGAAAAGCAGCTTAAATAGACTTAGTGGACGCCATTCAAATCCTGAGACGTCTTTAGCTTCTATCTCAGTAAATTTACCACACAGATGCATAACCTCAGCTACTAAAGTCGATGAATACCTGGCTCATTCGGCGGACATATTTCGGGACTATATAAGAATGCAGGATTTTATAATTGAACAAATTATTATTCCACAGCACAAAATGTAATCAAAATAAGCCCATTTTCTCGACGATCTCTTGCACAACACAATGTTTTGCTTAACATCCCTATATTAAACGATACTTCCAATGATCAGCATACATCTACATCCAAATAATTTGATGAGCTTAATAACTCTAGTTGCTGTAAGTTACAAGGGCATCACTGTAGTATGTATGTAGATAAACTGCATTTCTGCTAAGGCTCCACCATCTACACTAAGTTAGTATATAAGATGAACGATCCTTAGTAGATGAAGACAACAAATGCAAGGAAAGAAATATCAGAAAAAGGAGAGAATACCAAATCAACTGAAGTGAAATGAAGAAAAGACCCGAAACAAACAGATAAAAAGGTAATAGAGCAGTGTAAATTACGAATCAAATTACTTACAAAAGGCGGAACCGTCAATGGAGTCGAAGAACTGAACCTTGAAAAAATCCTTGGCAACGTCATCATTCACTGGGATTCTCGAGACCGAAATATCCCTAACAGAGAATTAACACGACTGATACACTTACGTCTTGACAAACTCCCCAGATTTTAGTAAGCCCTTACAAGTTGACAGTGTGTATCTGGACCGAGCAGTAGACAAAACTATTCAAGTTTTAGGATAACAAGTATAGTTATTCTACCTTTAAAACGCAGTGTTCGAGCCGATTTGTTCACTATTAAAACCTCGCATGTGTTGAAATTCCCCTTATCAGATCGATGAAAAAATACATTGGATGGTTTGACAAGTACTTCTCTGCTTGAATCAAGCGTCATTGTAGTCTTCGCAACTCATGTATGTTACTAATCCTGGTTACATCGTAGATTGAGTACTGCTGGTAACGCATATCTTTGTAAAATTGACATTAGTTGAATTTTCCAATATTTCATACTCTATTCAATTGTGGCTCGCTACGTCGCTATTAAGTATTTCTGGGTTCACTTGACCCATTTTACGTATCACTGCAAAAGATTTGACTAGTTTACGGAATTTTCATATAACAGCTTTGTATAAATACAACTAACTTGTGGCAGGCTGTGTCCCTGCTGTTTAAAGGTTTCAACATGATCACTCCTCCTATCTCTTGGTGAACTCTGAGGACGAAGGAGAGGTGGTCAAATCCGAATAGCAAAGAATG